GAACGCCCCATATCCCGGCGTTGCCTCGAATCAGCTACTGTAGCAGCAGTAGATTTGGAGTCAAATTCCCTCCGCGGGTGAGATTTTCATAGATTTACAGGTGAAAGCGACAGAGCTCGCGAGTAGGCACAACTCTCCTGAACCCTTTCGCGAGTAACCGATGGGACGCACGGCAGGAGGGCGGTGGCGCAAAAACGAAGAGACGATCATAAGAAACAAAAGTGGGGTACAGTGGGGCAAGGCAAGAGACGAGAATGAAGAAAATATAGGCCGCTGTTCACCCCCTCCTTCCCACCTGTGTGACCGCGACGCACACGTCTGGTTGTACAGAGAAACACACCCGTTGGGTGGTACGCTGTGGTGGGAGGTATGAATTGTTTGTGATGATCGCGCCAAACTAATCCTCCACCCATCGGCTGCCACATGGCCTGTTTCCGTTGCCTGTCGTGCAGGAAAAATGGGTGTAGAGCGCTGACGCCCTGAGGAGGGATCTCGAAAACATCTCCACACAGGAGGACATTCCCCAGCTAGTATCAAGGACGTTTGCGAAGAGCATGGGGTCAAAATGGCCGTGTCCACCTCTACTAAGGAGAACGGGGGCGGCCGGCTGGTCTCGACGACGTTGCTATGCGTACATGGCATGCCGCTACGCAAAAAGCCAGCAAGTAGCGGTGAGCATTAATGCGTAATGATCCCTCTCTGCCCCCTCCCCCTTGTTTGCCCCTTGTGAATGTCGGCCTACGGAACACATACGTGATGGGGGTTGTCGCGAGCTGGTATAGGGCAGCCGCAGTAGGAACCACCCGATTCGGAAATGTGGGGGAAATGTGTCACCTGGTTTATTGCATCACTGACTACAGCAAGAGCGACGCAGATCCAGGCGTGACGCGCGCTGCAGAGCTGAACATGTTGGAGCTTGAGGAATATATGTTCCATGCAACCTAATATGTTTCAGTCGGTCTGCTGCCACTCCCCCACCCTTCACCTGTGCGGCAGACAACAACACGAAGAGCCGGAAAGGCGAAAGCCAGAGGACGGG